ATTTTTTCCGTGAGGGACTGGTGGGTGTTCTCGGTTTGGTTCAGAGCAGAACTAGCTGTCACTGCCAGGAAATCTCCGGGTGAACTTGTCATGTCCCCGGCGTGTTTGTCGTCGATAATATTGTTGTTTCTCATTGGATTTCAATTATCACGAACGTCCCCGTTGTTGGGGTGCCTGTTTCGTGATTGAATATCTCGCTTTCGTCATTTTGCGCCTTGTGTGGTGTGATGTTCTGCCCGCATACTCGGATGCATCCGGACTCGAACTAACTCTATGCTTTTGTGCCTCTCTCCCGAACCTTCCCCGTCGTCTACACTCATCTATGCATTTTCACTTTGAATGTTGTGAGGCGTCACAGAAAACAAAATACAACACACGGGTCTCTTTATACATTTGATGGTCCGTCTGGCCCTCCGCACTGTGTGCTTTGTGATTCCGACATTGAATGTTGTCAATTCTTTGGCCCGACAAAGCTCCCCCTCTGCACGAGCGTTCATACATTCGGTTCCTATGCATTACCCAATACAATGAAAAATTAGAATGTGCCGAGAGGGAAAACCCAAAAGACGACGCCAATGGCTGCTCGAATGTGACGAGATTTGAATTAAGGTGGCGGGGCTGAAAATACAATTGCATGATTGGACAAAATTGGATGTGGTGACGGAAGGATAAATCACAACACGGGCTAAGGTCTTTGCTATAGAGGACTTGAGTTAGTCCGTCGCACACTCAAGGCTAGCGAACAAAGTGGGCGCTCGAACTCCGAAACTGCTTGCTGGAGGCAGCACCCGCATTTGTACTCGAGCAGACCGGTCTCTACCTTCAACTTGTTTCAAGGCGACTATACTAACCGCCTGAAGTTGTTTCACATATAGTCTCTGAGGATCCTACACAGACATATGTTGGTTTCTTGCGGATTATGCCCATTGCATTTCAGTAAGGTGAACTCGTACGTGTATCGAATTTGACACACAAAACAAAGGGCCGAAGGCCAGAGCTCCCCTGTCATCTCGGATGCATCCGAACTTGGCTTACTCTCGCCTAACGAAAACCTTGCAACTCTTGTACAGCTACACTTGTGGTTTTCCCATGTTCCTCGAACATGCGTCTCCTGTGCGACATGTCGACATGAAAAGAAAATTCAGTGCAATCATCCACACTCTCTTTGTCTCTCTCTGTGTCTCTGTCTATGTCCCTGTCTCTGTCTCTGTCTCCCTCTCCATCTCTCTGCATGCTCTTTCTATCTCTGTCAGCTCTGTCTAGATCGTAGCGAAGCGACTCACAGCCGAGACACTCCGGATGGATTAGAAATGTGGTGGATGATGGTACAATGTTTGTGTGTGTGTGTGTCTCTCTCTCTCTCTCTCTCTCTCTCTCTCTCTCTCTCTCTCTCTCTCTCTCTCTCTCTCTCTCTCT